CGGGGCGCGCTTTACACTTTCCCCAGACGACCCCACGACACAATCCTACCGAAAGTCCTTCTCTGCAGCTGTGAATGCCGGGTTATGCGCTTGGAAGATGAACAAAAACTGGAGGTATTTGACCACCGCTGCCTGAGAAGCATCCTCAGAGTGAAATAAAACGACATCGCCTCAAGTGGGAGAGTCCGTACTCGCTGCGACAACATCACAAGGATATCTCAGGTCGTCTAAGAAAGACGATTTAGGTGTTTTGGACACCTTCTTCGTCGTCAACCTCACGACCTCAGTGTTACTGTCCTCGACTCGACACCGTTACCCAATTAAACACTTCGAAGAGGGGGTCAGCTCAAAGCTGGCTTGACTCCGTCCGTCAGGACATGGAAGTGGTTCTTTGGCCTTCGGTTTTCGGTCTCCAGTGCTGGCGAAGGGAATGGACTTAAATGTCTAGGTCTGCTGCCACAGATCGTCATGCGTGGAGAAGTACCATCCGGGACATGGAGGCCGGGTAGATCAGTCATGATCGTAGCCCTAACAAGTACATGTAAGTACAGGTTCACATTTCTGGTTTGCAACTTGCAACTGTTGTATCACTAGCTAGTGAGAAGGAATAGGACAGAAATCGGCCACGCAGCGTTTTGAGTAGTACTCAAACTTATTACCTCACAGACAATAAATCGAAAAAGATGAAGTGACTTACTTCCTGTTGAAAGAACGTTCGCATTCCAATGGCAGAGTACTCAATGGCAGTACGCAGGAGATCACTTGTGAGGCTGCGTAGCAAGCGCATATCCGTCGTCGACTGTTCGGTGAAAATATTTAGACCGGGGACCAGAGCATCGATGGCCTTGCGCAGACACTGCATCACCAGAGGCAGTTGTTGCTTCTCCCCCGGTAGCGGTCCATCTTCCCGCTTTCCTTCACCTGAATTTGGGGAAAGGTCGGCGGGAGGAATTAACACATGCGGGGCTGCAACAGTGGCCAGCTTGACTGCCTGGTAATGGAGGGTGCAGAGGAGGACACGAAGATCTGTACTAAGGAGGTCAGCATACGAGTTGAAGAAGGGATCCTGAAGGAGGTCAAAGGCCCGAACAAGACGCCCCTCAAAACGAGCTCTGAGTTCAGGGTCCTGCGAAATGTTTAGGCATAAAGTGATTAAGTCAGAAATAAACGAATACGGCCTTGTTACGGAGACGGAAACAACGATGCGCTCGCGGCCTAAGGGGAGAAGATCACGCGACAATAGGCGCCACAACAGGCCAAGCCAGCTAATTCATATGCACGGGCAACCAGCGCACGCTGTTGCTTCGAGCACACGTGACGCCTTCTGCTGAGGCATGCGGCCCAAACATTCGATAACTTTCACCAGGACATTACACCGTGGGAAACGACTAATCAGTGTATGCCAGGCTGCAGCACAGAATGTCCCAGAACGCCCATCGCACTCCATTGGCAGAAATGTTCTAGAACGGCCAACACTTTATAAATAAACTAGAGTTGACGAGTTGGGAAATCCGCGGTGTGTGTTGGCCTTGACTAAATTGGTTGGTCTCAGAAACAGACTCTCTGTTTTATTTCTGCCTACCTGTCAGGGGATAACAGCCCCCCCCATATTTCCCATAATAACCATGTTTTAGTAATTACATGGAATAAAGCCGTTTAATGGATTGGATTGAAACAAATTAGTAGTCTTCCAGTACCTACAACCGCTAAATGCCGTTGTTTTTAAAACACAAGACCAACCTAGCGAATTCAGGGCCGTGTTAAAGACTTGACTAACCTACACATGTGAGGACAGGACAATCAGGGCTACAGTAGCCCAGCCTATTAACACAGGGAAAGAGAAAGCGCGAATGT